CCGATGGGACTCACCCCAGGGCAGGTTTCTGGTTTCAGTGTGCATGCCCCACATATGTGGCGAGGCACGCCGTCGTCCTGGCGCTCGTTGCACCTGGGGCGGCAGGTCTCGTCGCCCTTGTGTGGGCGGTCGATTTGATTTCATTGGTGGCTACACTGCCACCTTGCGTTTTCTCGTGCATGGCGGTGCAGGTTACGCAGCCTGCCCTAGTACCCGAGCCTTGGGGTACCGCCTTTTTCGTGGTGTGCATGTTGTATGTGCGCGTGCGCGCGTTGCCCTGCACGAGTGTCAGGCACCCCGCCTCAGGGGGAAGGAGCGCCGCACAATTCTTTTTCCCTCCTCACGGCGGTGCTGGTTACGCTGCCAGCCCTAGTGCCCGAGCCTTGGGGTACCGTCGTGCTGGAGGGGTCTCTCGGTACTCGAGCACGGGGGTGGACGTAGGCCCGCCCCGACTGTGGCTCACTTTTTCGGTGCTGGCTCCAGCACCGTCTGTGTCGGCAGCACGCTGGCTGCCCGTCGCCCCCGTTCGATTGCACAGTCTCGAGCGGGGTGACGCTTCAACCCCTGCGCTTTCGCGCTCCTTAGTAACAAATATTATATATATGTATATATATATATATATATATATAAAAAAAAAAGCCTCTTGGGGGCTTCTTGGGAGCTGTTTGGGGCTCCTTGGCAGCGTCTTGGGCTCCCGGGGCCTCTTAGGGGGCTCTTGGGGACCCCTTGGGGCGGAAGGGGGGTAGTCGATTGCAGCCACCCCCTCGGAGGTCACGATCCCCGTGAGGGGTGGCGAAAAATAGCCTCCCCCCTGGGGATCGCCCGGGGCCCGGCTGGGGGTCAGCCGGGGTACTTTTCGTCGGGGGGCCCCCAGGGGCCGCCCCGAGCGCGCGAACTCGAAATATTGTTAAGTAGTTACCGGAGATTTTAGCACGCCTCTGGCCCTGGGCCGGCGACTTGGGGTATTTTTTTTGTTTCGTCCAAAATCCCCACGTATGGGGACGTGCCCGACCTAAATGTAGTCGCTGGGTGGCGGCCCTTCTGCTCCGAGGCAGCCGACGTCGAATTGGAGATGCCCCCCTGGCCCGAGGCGGCGAGGACCGGGGGCACGCCCGCCGGTGTTGCTGCCGCAGGTGGCTGGGCGGTCCGCGACCTCCCCGCGGTCGCGCCGTGACGCCCAAGGAGCCTCGTGCGGCCATGCGCAGAGGGGTGTCGGGGGGGAGGGGGGGGGAGGGCTTCTCAGAAGCACCCCTGCCTCTTTTGGGCGATCGCAAGCACGGATTGAGGGGGCACCTCGCTTCCTCCCCGCTCCCTCACAGACCGCTGGATTCTGAGCCCACCAGTGGATGCGTGCGGGGGCGAGGAGTCGGAGCAGGGGTCGAGGAGGCGGCCGAGAGGATGGGTCAGGCGATCGCAAACATGGATCAAGGGGTAGATTAGCGTCGGGTCCCGTTTCCATGGGAAATCGCGAATTGCCGCCGCCGAGCGAGGCGCCACCGGCCGCATTTTGGGGCGGGGCACCTCCCCCGATCCATGGATTCGGCGACCGCGCGCCAGATCCATGGATCGCTCATCCATGTTTGCGCGCCCCCAATTCTTAGAAGGCGCGGGCCTTCTCTGTAGATGGAAGGCCGGCGCCTTCTAAGGAGCAGCCTCCTTCTAAGAAACCGTTCCCCCCTCCCTCCACCCCCCTTGTGCGCACCGCCAATTCGTGGGCTCTTGGATTTGGACGGCGCAGAATGAGAGGCAAAGATGGCCGCGAAGGCATCCGTGAGGTCGTCGTCCATTGGCTCCCTCGCGCTGTCACGTTTGATTGTCTTGCGGCGCCCGCGCGTTTTTTACTGAGCCGTTCCCGTGACTCCCGGGATGCGGTTTCCGGTGATGGGGGCAGCGCCTGAGAAGTGGGCGGTGAGCAGGTCTTCCAGTGTTGGCGTGGTAGCGATGGCGTCAGTCTCGCAGATGGCGCCTCGAATCAAGATGACACTGTCGGCTGGGTCGTGGGTGACCCGAAGCACGTGTTGGAGGCAGTTGACCTCGGTGCGGCCCAGCCATTAGATGGTACTATTGATGTGTCCTGGCGTGGGTTTGGTAGCCTCAGCTGGTTTACGGAGCATGGGCACGAGGGCCTCCTTCCCAGGGTAATCGGTGCTGATCGGTCCCGTGACTGCGAGCGCCAGGGGTTCATCCTTCCTGCGGATCTGGTGCAGGAGCCGGCCGCCCTTCTCTTGCGCGTGGAGCGAGGTGCTGTTGGTGCATGCTCGTCCTCCACTCCGTCCTGCGCGTGTGCGGCGGGGGCAGCCGAGGCTTGATGAGCGAGGCGGTGCCGCTGCCCTGGTGCGCGTCGGCGGCAGCCGTGGGCCCCGGTGAGTCGCGGCGGGAGCCCGTCTTGTGCAAGAGGGGGCAACGCAGAATCGTGTAGCCGATTATTCAGAGCGTGAATTACCTACCCCGCTTTCGCTTCCAGGCAAAACCAAGCCATACCACGCGCCTCCTCGTCAATCGGCCTGACCAGTACAGGCTGCAATTTGGCATCGTTTGGTATCTCTTGGAAGCGAGGGTGGTCAAAAGCGAGGTAGGTTTGTTTTCCCCCTAATTATGTTATCCCGCAGAGCTGTATCAGCTCACCCCTTAGCGCTGGTCGGAGCGGAGACGTCAAGATCGTTGTGATGCCTGTGGGCGGAGTCGTTGCAGGCAGCGACTGCTTGGTCGGCACCGACACTGCTCTGGAGTGCGGCGATGCAGGCTTCCTTGCGATCGTGGTTTGTGTCCTGACGGTCGTGTATGTTAGCCTTTGGGCGGCCTCTGCCTAGAGGTTTGGGCTGCGGTGGTGCAGCGTGCGCACGGCGAGGACCTTTCGGAGCCATGGCGCGCGCGCAGAAAGAAGGGGACGCGATGCACATCGGCCCCGTATGATTGATACGGTCACAATCTCACCGGGCTGGGTGGCGCGGAAGGCTACGTGTCGCGGCTTCGCCTTGAGTACAAGTGCTCAGAGAGACAGAGAGAGGGAGAGGGATATACCAGTGTACATATATATATATATACATATGCACACATAGATCGGCCAACAAACAAATGGCACCACCCCACCTACGGCCCTTCGTGTTGCGCTACGGCCTCTCAGGGGACTTAGCGTATACCGTGCAAAACCCCACGCCAGATGCCCTGGTACATGCTACGGCCCGTGGGGCCGTAGGTGGGGTGGTGTCGTTTGTTTTCTGGTCCAATAGAGAGAGAGAGAGAGAGAGATAATATTTTGAAAACAAAGAGAGAGAGAGAGAGAGAGAGAGGGAGATAAAGAGAGAGAGAGAGAGAGAGAGAAAAAGAGAGAGAGGGAGAGAGAAATGGGGCCGCCATGCATCCTCTCAGGCGAGCTGGTGGGAGACGGGTCCACTTGAGACGAGGCGGGAGTATCGGCGAGCAGGCCCTCGCGGTGCGTTTGTGGGCCCTGCAGCGTCCTCAAGACGGCATTGGCTTCTCCCCGCTCCCTCCAAGACCGCCGGCTCTGGGCCCACCAGTGGATGCGTGCGGGGGCGAGGGGTCGGAGCAGGGGTCGAGGAGGCGGTCGGAGCGTGGGCTCAGTTTTACGAGTATGCTGCTCTGCCAGTTTCGTGAAACTCTGGGTGCGTGCAAGGGCTCACCTATGGCAGGTTGGCTTGAGCGCTGCTCCAGGTGTTTGGGGGGACTTACCCGCTTCCCTTCCTCCTCCTCCTCCTCCTCCTCCTCCTCCTCCTCCTCGCCATCTCTCCCTTTTGCCCTCTGCCCCCCGCTCGTCCCTTTAGCTCATCCTGTCCCGCACCCTCTAGGACTGCATTAATAGCACTGCCCTTCAGAGTGCACTGGCGTTGCCGTATTTGTGTACATTCGCCAGTGTAGCGTTCGCCTCCTGGTTCTGTGTGCCACTCGCTTCGGCTTTAGCTGGCGTGTTTTGGCACAATGGCCTGGCGCGGCAAAAAAAGGGGTCGAGGCGGCCGAGAGGATGGGTCAGGCGATCGCAAACATGGATCAAGGGCGCGTGGATTAGCGGCGGGTCCCGTTTCCATGGGAAATCTCAGATTGCCGCCGCCGAGCGAGGCGGCACCAGCCGCATTTTGGTGAGGGCACCTCCTCCGATCCATGGATTCGGCGACCGCGCGCCAGATTCATGGATCGCTCATCCATGCATGCGCGCCCCCGAATTGGGGGGGGGGCAGGGACGGGACAGGGGAAGAGAGAGAGAGAGAGAGTGAAGGCGGAACGGGCGGGCCAGGGTTGGCCCCCGGGGAGAGCGAGGTCGTCCTTGTCGTCCTCCACCTCCACCCCCTCCTCTTCCTCCTCCTCCTCCTCCTCCTCCTCCTCCTCCTCCTCCTCACTCTCCTCCTCCTCCTCCTCCTCCCCCTCCTCCTCCTCCTCGTCCTCCTCCTCCTCCTCGTCCTCCTCCTCCTCCTCCTCCTCATCATCATCATCATCATCATCATCATCATCATCATCATCATCATCATCATCATCATCATCATCATCATCATCATCATCATCATCATCATCATCATCTTCCTCCTCTATCGTTTGGGGCAATCCGATCTCATGGGTTTCAAGACCCACTCGGAAAAGCATTGGCAACGAGTGACACATCCAGGGCCGCGTGCAACCTCCTCCTCCCCCTCCCCGCCGCTCCTCCTCCTCCTCCTCCTCCTCCTCCTCCTCCTCCTCCTCCTCCTGCTCCTCATCCTCCTCCTGTTCCTCCTGTTCCTCCTGTTCCTCCGTCGCTCTACGTCGGTGCCGCCGCCGCCGACGACGACGACGACCGCGACGGCGACGACGTGAACGTTGACGACGACGACGACGACGACGACGACGACGACGACGACGACGACGACGACGACGACGACGACGACGACGACGACGGCGCCTGCGGTCGTCCGGCCGAGGCCGCGCTGCCCCTCGCCAGCCGGGCCGCGGCCTTCGAGGTCGAGCCCGGGCCGCCGCCGCCGCCGCCCGCGGGGCCCGACGCCGCGCCGCAGCGCGCCCTGGCCGTCGGGCTCCTGGCGGCGCTGGCCTCCCTCGGCGCCGCGGCGGAGGAGGCGGGCCGGCGGTGCGTCGCCGAGAAGGCCTCGGGGCGCAAGAGGCTGAGATCCCCTCGGGTCATGAAAATTCGGACGGACGGTTTTTCTCTATGTTCGGCCTCTCGGGGCCCTTGCCGGGCCTCGGGGCCGTCAGAAAACGACTCAGGATGAAAGACTGATGCCGGGGAATGGGTCGAGACATTTGGGGGCCGACGTTTTGGAGAAATCATAACGTCTGGGGTCTGGGGACGGGGGTCGGTGCAAACAGGGGTCAGCCAGGGCGCCGGATCTCGCAGGATCCTGCAGGGACAGGGTCGCATTGACGTGGGCTTTGGTGCAGGACCCTGCAGGATCCTGCAGGATTCCGCAGGGGGGCTGGCGATGCGTCGCCGAGAAGGTCTTGGGGGGAGAAAGGTGCCCTTTTCGGGCCCTCAAGGCTTTCTTGGCCCGAAAAGACCCCTCTAGGGGCCCTAATGGGTTCCTTTTCGGCAGCCCTCGCTGCCCCCCCATTTTATCGCCCCGCCCAAAGGTCCACGAGCACTATGACGGCTCCGACTGCGCCGACTCGTGGCAGTGCGTGTGGGACCTCACGAGCGTCACCGAGCTCGTTCCACTACCCGCAGAGTGCCTACTCGCAAGCGTCCAAAAAAAGTGCGCACATGTGTGCATCGATATTATTCGTCGTAGATCTCCCGCAGCGGATCCAGGCCATTTGCGAGTAGTTTCCTGGCGAGTAGTGGAACGCGCTGGTCTAGAGCGGCGAACGTATCCAGATCCACGCCCTCGCGGTCTGGATTCTGGGGCGCGATCCCGCGGATGCGCGGTCGCACGGATACGTTCCGCGCGGGGCATCCGCGAAAAAGCACCCTGTATCCGCGGGGTCGCGGCCCAGGGTGGATACACTTTTCGCCCGCGAGGACCCCGCCGGGTGCGGCGGCGGGTGGGAGAACCCTGACCTCGACCTGGGGGTGTGGGACCCCGCGTGCGCGTGCGAGAAGGACCACCTGGGCGGCTGCCGAGATCTCTACTTGACCACGGGGCCTCTGCGGTGGCGGCGCGCCGCGCTCTGGGGGCCAGCTGTGGCCCTGCCGTGCGCCGCGCTGGCGGGCTGGTGCGCGTGGCAGCGCGGCAGCTTCCGGGCGGGCCAGCCGCTGCACTGGTGGACGGCGCGCTACGGGGCGGGCGCGGGCCTCTTCGCGGTCCTCTTCGTCTTGCGCCCGTGGAGCGAGGGGTGCCCCGAATGGAATGGCAGCACCGCCAATGTTTTCTTCTACCTCGAAACGACGGTCTTCTGTGCGCTCAAGGTCGTCTCCCAGGTCCTCGTCGCGCACAAGCTCGAGGAGCTCCGCAGCCGGAGGCTGGCCCGGGCCGTCCGCGCCCTCTCGGTGTCGGGCCTGCTGTGCATGTCGCTGGGGGCAGCGGCAGCGTCCCTGAGCTGGGGGCACTCCCACTGGGAGTACTACGGCATGGGCATGGAGGCGACCGGCAAGAGCCCTGCCGTGATCGCGCTGCTTCTCGCGGCGCTCTGCTACCTGCTGACCTGCATCTGCGGCCTCTGGGGCCTGCTGGGCACCGTGGCGGGCGCGCCCCTCTGCGGGGGCGGGGCGCAGTGGCGCGCGGCCTGCTTCGTGAGGTTGACGGCCGCGGGCCTGGCCGTCTCGTCTGCCAGCGCCGTCCTCACGATGTGGTATTCGATGGCTTCCCACAACGTCTTCTCGAACGGGGTGTCTGCCGCCGACGCGTTCATCGACTGTCTCATGGTGGCGCTCTTCTCAGGGTTGGTCGGGCCCGCGTCGGTGCGGGTGCTGGCGCGGGACGCCTTCTCTGCCATCAACTCGTACACCGACGACCAGCTCCAGGCGTTCTACGAGAAGTACCTCGAATACCTGGACAGTGCGGAGGTGAGATGGGTGAGGTGCGGCTACCTACGGGACCTTGCCGCTTCTGGCAGCGTCATGCCGCGATGCCAGGAGGTGCCAGACGAGCAGGTGTTCATCGGCAGCAGTGGTTTTCCGCTCCTCCGGAACGGGGAGAAGGACAGGTTCGTGCTCTCGCACCCCTGGTTGTCCAAGGAGCACCCGGACCCCACTGGGTCAAAATTGAGGTTGCTTGTGCACCAGCTCGACATGCTCCATGCCTCCGACGCTCACGCAATATTCATTGACTACATGAGCCTGCCCCAGAACGACAAGCGGAGCCCGGAGCTGCAGCGGCTGGAAAGGGAGCAGAAGACGCCCAAGCCCGGCTCGCACCCAGCAGTCCGCACGCAGGCAGAAGAGGCACGGTTCAAGAAGGCGCTCTCGGCCATGGAGCTGATCTACAGCGTCGGAAAGACACCAGTCATTGTGTTGCCCATGGGCAGCTCCGTCGAAACAGGCAGGGAGTACATCTCCAGAGGCTGGTGTTTTCTTGAGTTCTGCCTGTCCATGAGCTTCGACAATATCGCGAATGCCGACATCCACTATCCTGTAAGATGCCTGATGGCTGACGTCAAAAACATGAAAGGCGATACGGTGGACGGTTTCCGCGAGGCATTTAAGAGCACCCACTTTACCAATAAAGGCGATGCCGATGTGGTCCTCGCGCTCTTCGAACACACGCTGAATTTGGCATCTAGCCAATGAGAGAGCCCCACGCACTGTTGACTGTTCTGTCCTCTGCGTCGACTGTCGACCTGGAGTCTTTCCGGCTGAGAGTTTCTACCTGTAGGGGCATGGTTGTGATTGTGTCCGAGCTCTTCCAAGGATTCGAGCGAAGCTTCGAGCGGGCTCTGGCCAGGATCAGTGCGAAGCTGGATAGAATCTGAAACCCACGAAGGTACTGGGATGTCTCCCGATGCTACTCACTTTTCAAACATGTTATCTCAAGTTGATGAGCATACAAGTCGGACCGAGCGCTCAAGCACATGAAGATGGAGAGCCGCATTTGGCCAACACACTAGCGTTCTGAAGTGGAGTCAGCACTCTGGAAGTGCGGTTCAGAGATCGTGAGTCCCTGCGCAAAGTTCAATCAATGCGAGATGACAATGAACGATTGTCTCCACTGAGGAGAGGCGATTCTGGCATTGGCGTTACCATTGGCAAATCTATCATGTTTGTGGCCAACCAGAATCTGGACGCGGCAACGGCCTGTTTGCAGATGGCCTACAAGCAAGCCTTAGAATCGGAGCAGATAGCCGTCGAAGTGATGAGCGATTCGCCGCATCAGAGGAACGTCATCAAAAACACACGTAAAAATCGCCGGCCCAACGGGCCAGAGGCGTGCTAAGATCTCCGGTAACAGGTTGACCGTATTTCCAGTTCGCGCGCGCGGGGAGGCCCCTGAGGGTCCCCAGGCGAAAAGTACCCCAGGATACTCCCGTCAAGGATGCTGGACCTCCCGGGTGCGGCTTTCAGGGCCGTCCAGAACGCTACAGGGGCGCCTCAAGAGACCCCAACGGAGCTCCAAGAGGGCAATGGGTGGCAGGCCTCAAGATGACCCAAAGACGGTTCCAAGAGGCTTCAAGAAAATTGCATGAGGGCCTCGGGGGCACAATTTCAATGGTTAACCTTGGGTTTTTGACAGATTTTGACGTCACTGCCTTTTCTAGTTTCTGACTGCCCAAGACGGCCCAAGAGGCTCCCAAGATCGCCCTAAGACTGCCCAAGAGCTCCCAAGACGGCCCCAGACGGCCCAGGAGGACCCCAAGACGGCCCACGAGGCCCCCACGAGGGCTCCAGAGCCCCCTCACTTCAGAGCCCCAGGAATGGAATCCGAACTGCCAGCAAGCCCCCAAGGTGCCCCCACGAGGCCCCCAAGAGACCCCCAGAGGCACCTCCATGAGGCCCCAAGAGGCTCCCAAGAGGCCCCAAAATGCAGCCATGAGGCCCCCGAGAGGCCTCCCAGGAGACCCCAGCAAGCCTCCCAGCAAGACCTCTTGTCCACGACCCAGTCTGGCAGAAAGCCACTAAACACTGCATACAGTATGGGCCGGCGTACAGGTCAAGCCAGGCTGCAGAGCACGACGAGAAGGGCAAAGCTGCGCGCCGACTTTCAATCGTAATTGTTTTGGCTCATGCGACGTTGGCTCGAACCCTTAGGAAGCCCGAGCCAGCCCGAGCGGCACACGCTGGTGCAGTCATGTCGCAGTTGGGCGACCAGAAGCTCATGTCGTGCTACTTCGATGGAGTCGTGACTCGCGCTCGCATTACTCCGACTGCCACTCCTGCGCTCCCGCATTATTCCGATGGAATTGTTACTGCCAGCCAGCTGTGGTCGCCGAAAGAAAAGAAGAAGCCAGCAGCCGTGGCCAGTAATGGATCCACTGGCCGTTCGCCGTCCCTGGATCATTTCGTTTCTCGCATTGGCAGCGAACCGATCCGCGATTGTGTGGATGTTGCGTGGGGTCGCCAGACTTCCACCGACACTGACAAGCTCCAGCCGAACTGCCCCTCTGGGGAGTAACAGCCAGCTCTAGGATCCACCAGCTCCAGCGACAGACAGTAGTTGCTGGCAAGGGGCCTGTCCGAGCTCTTCTGGTCCGGCGATCGTCTGAAAGACCCAGTGCTTGTGGCAGCCCGCATCAGTGAGCCATCCCGCTGATCGTTGGCGATGTTTGCTTTACTGGCGCTGCTGCTGGCCCATTTTGCCTTCGGTTTATTCCGCTCACATCAGAGCTTCCTCTGACGAGCGGACGGTCCCACTTGCTCGTGCGACCGACTTCGCCTTCTTCGTTCCATTTTCGATCTCTTCTTCGTCTAGCTTGCCACGTCCGTGGGCACATGTTGTTGAAATCACGGTGGCAGTTTGTGCCATCGCTTTGTTGTTGTTAGCTTCGGCTCGTTAGTCATCGCTCGCAGCGTCGCATTTTTTGCCAAGCAGCATGTTATAAGGAAACGTGATTCGGCAACGCCCTTGCGAATAACGGTGCCTCTGCGGCTTTGCAATCTTTGGTATGTTGATGGCGAGTAGATGGAGTCACAGTTTAACCGAAGACTGCGAAGTGGCAAGACCTGCCGACTGCCGATCATCTGCGCTGCCCGTTCCCGGTGCCACTCTTGGTGTCTGGGAGGCTGCAAGGACATTTAATGTGTAAATAGCATGACACATGGAGCTGCAGCAAGATGCATGGATACCTTGGCGTACGCGCCGCCTTTGGCATACCGAAGGTAGCATGCGTGCGTGCCTAACGCACATTCCCTTCGCGATCAAGCCCGTCCTCAGGGAGGACAATTCGACCCCCGCTTGTGGGTGGGGGACCACAATGGACAGCTTCTATCTGTTACAGCTGTTCATGGCTCGATTGCGGAGTTGAGCGTCAGAGTTTATTGCTGAACGCACGACGAACGCTGAGTTGATGGCTAGAGGCTGATTCTTGCTTTGCGCTGGCCCCGTGCGCCGACTAGGCATGTTCTTCGGGTGCCACCGAGGCTGCGGGAACGAGGGGAGCTGAAGGTGCCTCGTTTCGCGGCAGATCGGCACGGTCGGAAGGACGCAGAGTGACTCTGCCGCCCAGCACAGCAAGTGGAGCGGTGATGGTTGCGGGGCTTGTGCCGCACGGTTTCGGGCACATCGCCGGGCGCTGTCGCGTCACTGCCCTTTCATCGCCTGGCGAGGCATCCAGGTATCCAGGCTCTCGGATTCGCTTCGCTTTCCGAGACGCTTCTTGTCAATCGCACGTTGACGGGGCTCAGCGCGAGCTTTGTTTTGTCCTCACGTGCAGGCCAACTGTAAGAGCCCCACCTTGGGCTCCAGAACAGTTCTTGCCGCGACGGCTCTGGTGCCATCTGTTGTGCCAGAGCCGGCTTTCGTCCTCCGCATGGGGTCAATTTCAAATTCAGTCCCTTGTGTTCATGGGATAGAGGATGAGAATCCGGAAAGGGGGGATATTACACATCGCCACCAGACTTGCGCTGCGCGCGATCTGCTTTTTAAAAGGCGTCCGACATCAAGTTCGGCTGCCAGGTAACCTTTCCCCTCCTCGTCCTTCCTCCTTCCGTCGCTTCTCCTGGAGAAGACGTTCCTTTTGGTGCGACTCCAGAGGGTCTGCGCGCGGCGAAGGGCTGGGACCAGCTGCTGTGACAGAGCTGGGCCTCGTTCTCTGCAGAGGGCCTGTATCGCACGGGTTCGAACTGTGCAATGTTGTTTCAACGGGTACCACGCAAAAGGTACACTTTCAGTTGCGCTGAGAAAATTGTGCGCCAACGTCCAAGACACTGAACGCAGCGGGGGTTCTGCCGAACTTCAAAGACATTCACAACGAAGGCGCGGTTTTCCTATCGAGTCGATCCCTCTCCCTATGTGCTATGTGCGAAGAACCAGCTGGCCAACCGAAGTCAGATGGGAACGCCCCTGGGTCAGTGTGAGGGGCTTCCGCGAACGCGAATCGATTTCAAGTTGCGCTCGCAGACAGATGGTCTGGATTTTTCAGATAGCGTATCGCTCCGCTGGTTCTGGCCCAGCACTTCGGAGAGACACGCTATCCACTCCCTGGCCCTCCGGCACCCGCGCCCCGAGCGTTTCCCGACCTCCCCGCCCACGAAGCGAAGCGACACACCATCCACTCGCAAAGCGCAGCGTGTCGCCATGGTCGCCGCGGCGACTTCTTATCGGCAGCAGCGAGAGTCCTCACCGCGCTCGCGGGCAGCCGTGGGATACAACGGGTCCGTGTTGGGCACAGGAGGCGCCCAAAAGAGCCTCCTCCTCCTCCTCCTCGTCCTCATCCTCGTCCTCCTCGTCCTCCTCCTCCTCCTCGTCCTCCTCCTTCTCCTCCTCCTTCTTTTCCTCCTCCTCCCGCGGCATCCGCACCGCACGTGGACAAAAGGACCCGCTGAGGGAGCGCGCGGAGACAGAGGGGGGGCACGTTCAGAGCGTTGGATGTCCCTGAGCGTGTGCACCGCCGCGGCGGCACGCTGAGCAAAAGAGTTCCTCCCGACCGTAATTAACTGATTTGCTCGCCTTCGACCTCGACCTCGACCCCGCCGCCGCCGCCACCGTCGTCGTCCTCGTCGTCGTCCTCGTCGTCGTCCTCGTCGTCGTCGTCGTCGTCGTCGTCGTCGCCGTCGTCGTCGTCGTCGTCGTCGCCGTCGTCGTCGTCGTCGTCCGTCTCCTATTTTGGGCGTTCCTGTCCTTCTTCGGCCGAGGGCCGGGGGAGGGGGGGGGGGATGGGCTTGGCGGCAGAGCCTGGCAGGGAGACCCCGCGGCCGCCCCGGGGGGCCCAGAGGGGCTGGTGGGCCAGGGCGCCCCAGAAGCCTTCGAGGCGCCCCAAGAGAGCCCCAAGAGCCTTCCCAGGCGAGGGCCCCCAGAGGCCAGAAGCACTGATTTCTCACAGGTGGCTTTCCCCCCAAAGGCCCCCAAGACCGTCCCAAGACGGCCCAAGAGGCGGGGGAGGCACAGGCTGGGGGAAGCGGGCTCGCGGCGTCGTGGGGGCTGGGGGGGGGGAGTTCGGTAGCAAATCATGGATGTCCTCGAAATTGCGGTCTCCGCTGCCCCAGCTGGCCGCTCCGGCCCGCTCGGTTATCGCGGAACTCTTCCACGTCTGGGCGCCCTCCCCTTTCCACCTTTCGCGCGGCCGCCCTCGTCTTCGCCTCTCTCTCTCTCTCTCTCTCTCTCTTGCACGCCAGACAATTTACCGATCGGTGCCCCC